AGCAGTGGTTAAAATGGCAGGCTCCAAAATCACACTACTTTGGTGTTATCCTAGCTCTTACACCAGGCGTCCCCAAACTTTTTACACAGGGGACCAGTTCACTGTCCCTCAGACCGTTGGAGGGCCACCACATACTGTGCTCCTCTCACTGACCACCAATGAAAGAGGTGCCCCTTCCTGAAGTGTGGCGGGGGGCCGGATAAATGGCCTCAGGGGGCCGTGTGCGGTCCTCAGGTAGTTTGGGAATGCCTGTCTTACACTAACAGGTATATAACACTGAGGAAATTAAACTCTCTAAAATACAATCACCTAATCTATAAAATGGATATAATAATGGTATCATACGATTGTGGTGAGAAGTAAATAAGGTAGTATATATAAATAACTTATTACAGTGTTTGGTACATAAATGCTAAAAATATCCCAGGGTACGTGTTCTAAATTGAGCTCCTCTAAACCTCTTAGTGAACAATCCTTTCACCTTTAACCCCTACCCCATAGGGGCTTGGGTTCAAGAAGTCTTCTACCTTAGCTAGAAAATCTTAGCTGTTGATCAGAAAAACACTGATCAACAAAACTTGGGGTACAAACCAAGACTGACTCCTTCTGGGCAGTCTCAATCTCATCATCTTTGTCTCATTCCCTATAATAACCTTGTCCCCTACAATGACAAAACTAAAATCTTTTTTTTAAATATTTCATCCCAATATTTCTCATTCTAGTTTACTAAGACCATGGCAATTCATAGCATGAATTCTATCACTTATCTATCCCATCCCATTGTGTCCTCTGGTGTTTTAAGATGTCTGTATCTCATTTCATACGTCAGGTTATCTTTCTCACTCCTAATTGCTACAGTCTGAATACCTGTGTCTCTCCCAAATTCACAAGCAAATTGTATCTGTATTATCTCCATTTTATAGATTAGCTGATTGAATTTTAGAAAGTTTAATTTCCTCAGTGTTATGCAACTGCTAGTACGAGCTAGGATAAAACCAAAGTAGTATGATTTCAGAGCCTGCCATTTTAACCATTACTCTATCCAGCAGTGTTTAATAGAACTATCATGTAAGCCATATATATCATTTAAAATTTTCTAGTAGTCACATTAAAAAAGGTTTTAAAGAAAGTGAAGTTAATTTTAATTATGTACTGGATAATCTAATATATTCAAAATATCAAGTATCATTTTGTCCTATAACCGGTGTAAAATATTACCTTATAACTGTAAAAATTAAATTAATTAAATTGTATAATTGAAACTACTACACCCCTGTTCTGAACTGTAAAACTTTTTTCCTTCTTCCTCTTTTTCCTGCTGTACAACTTTTGAATGTAGGAAATTATATATTATGTATCTCTGGGTGCCAGGCAGAACAATCAAATGCTTCATTCATGGCAAGCCCTTCATTTCATGAATATTAATGAAGGACCACTAAATATAATTTATCAGCATCTTTCTTATGCTAACACAAACATTAGAAAAAGTAACCTCCTGGGCCGGGCGCGGTGGCTCATGCCTGTAATCCCAGCACTTTGGGAGGCTGAGGAGGGCGGATCACGAGGTCAAGAGATCGAGACCATCCTGGTCAACATGGTGAAACCCCGTCTCTACTAAAAATACAAAAAATTAGCTGGGCATGGTGGTGCGTGCCTGTAATCCCAGCTACTCAGGAGGCTGAGGCAGGAGAATTGCTTGAACCCAGGAGGCGGAGGTTGCGGTGAGCCGAGATCGCGCCATTGCACTCCAGCCTGGGTAACAAGAGCGAAACTCCGTCTCAAAAAAAAAAAAAAAAAAAAGAAAAAGTAACCTCCTTCCCTTTATATACATAATTTTAACTGGCCTCCATATCATCCTCCAGTTCACCTGCATATCATAACTTTTTTCTGGACTCCAGAGCCTTACTTCCATCTATGTTCTAAATATCATTTATTTAATCTGAAGGCAACCTAAATGTAACATGTCCCAAAGTGATCAGAGAATCTTTCACTTTCTTTTTTTGAGATGCAGTTTCGGGTTTTGCTTTTGTTGCCCAGACTGAAGTGCAATGGCGTGACCTTGGCTCACTGTAGCCTCCACCTCCCTGGTTCAAGTGATTCTCCTGCCTCAGCCTTTGTGTAGCTGGGTTACAGGCACCCACTACCAAAACTGGCTAATTTTTTTTATTTTTAGTAGAGACAAGGTTTCCCCATGTTGGTCAAACTGGTCTTGAACTTGTGACCTCAGGTGGTCTGCCTGCCTTGGCCTCCCAAAGTGCTGGGATTACAGGAGTGAGCCACCACACCCGGCCTCTAATTAACTTTCTTCCTACATTTCCTGTTTGATAATAAAAAAAATAGCCAACATGAGAATTTTATATATATTATCCTATTTAATCCTCACAACAACTCTACATATTCTATCATCCTTTATCACCAAATAGGACTTGAAGGCATGGTAACTTGCTCAAAATCACAAAACTTTTAAGTGGGAGATGCACACCTTGGCATTGACTCCAAAGGCCATGCCCTTGAAGATTTTCTTTCTTTCTTTTTTTTTTTTTTTTTTGAGATAGTTTTTGCTCGTTGCCCAGGCTGGAGTGCAATGGCGTGATCTCGGCTCACTGCAACCTCCGCCTCCTAGGTTTAAGTGATTCTCTTGCCTCGGCCTCCTCAGCAGCTGGGATTACAGGCATGTGTTACCATGCCCGGCTAATTTTGTATTTTTAGTAGAGATTGGGTTTCTCCATGTTGGTCAGGCTGATCTTGAACTCCCGACCTCAGGTGATCCGCCCACCTCAGCCTCCCAAAGTGCTGGGATTACAGGCATGAGCCACCGCGCCTGGCCAAACACTTTCAACTGAGATACATAAAGCAAAATTAGAAACCTTGAAGTCATCCTAGAAATTCTACTCACTGTCTGTATCCTGCCACCCAGTCCTACCTCTCCTAATATCTAAATGTTTCCCAAACTAGTTCTCTCCTATTTGTGCTGCCTCCATTCAGCCTCTCAAACTTTCTCTTCTGAACTACTGCAATATCTACCTAATTGATATTTTGACTTGAATCTCAACCACCAATAGGGTTCTTTCTGTATTTAAATTTCATCATGTTGCTGCCCCACTTAAAAGTTTTACAAAGGTTTCCAATTGCCAATCAGGTTAAGTTCAAACTTCTTAACGACTGGATTTTTGCCTTCTCTCCCAGTGTCATCCCATCATTGCCCGAATGTGCACTAAAGCAATTGTATTGTACAACTCATCTCTCTCTCTGTATCTCTCTCTCTCTTTTTGTTGAGACAGAGACTCACTTTGTCTCCCAGGCTGGAGTGCAGCAATCTCAGCTCATTGCAACCTCTGCCTCCCGAGTTCAAGCAATTCTCCTATCTTAGCCCCCACCAAGTAGCTAGGATTACAGGCGTGTACCACCACACCCAGCTAATTTTTGTATTTTTAGTACAGACAGGGTTTCACCATGTTGGCAAGGCTGGTCTAGAACTCCTGACCTCAGGTGATCTGCCTGCCTCAGCCTCCCAAAGTGCTGGGATTACACACGTGAGCCACTGCTTCCAGCCAACCGTCTCTTCTAAAGTGGTGACATTCACTCCTTCCTCGGCTCATAACAGTTCTCTCACTCTAGGCTGACTTCTAAGCATCCTTCCAGATTTTATTCAAGTATCAACTCTTCGAGAAAGCTTTTCTTCCCTGCTCCAGCCTCCTCTCCCTCACCTGCCAACAGATTAGGCATTCTTCCCTCTGCAGTCCCCCTTTACTTCATTCCTAACTTTAACCTTATTACAAGTTATTCTATTACTATGTGTTTCTGTTACTCCTGACTTAGAGTTCTTTGAGGAGAGGAGTTTTATATCAATCACACATCCCTAGCATAAGCCCTGGAATATAGCACTCTACTGTATGTGTACCAAATGAACGTTTTCAAAAAAGTGGAAGGGTTTATATAGAGCTTACAAATCACAGCAAGGAATGTCTGGGCCTATCAGGATAGTCTTCCATATTTGCTGAGAGGGAAATGAAACACTTCTGCAAGTGCTGATGACCAGGAAAGTCAGTTAAGGACAACAGGTGTGCCTAAAAAAGAAGTAAAGATCAGAGAACTCACAGACTTTCATTAGAGAGAAAACAAAGAAATAATTTATTTAAAGATCAGACCAAATTCAAAACAATTAAGGTCATAAAGCCAACAGAAATGCAAGATACACAGACATACATAGCCAACATTCTAAGTCAACTTCAAAATGTTGAAAGCTATGTCGGCAATAAAAATCACAAACTTTCAGCACCGCCAAGGTGAGGGAAATTACACTTCGAAATCTAATCAAGACTTTCCTCAAGATCAATTTTTGGCATCCACATTTCTTCAGGATGTAATACAAGTGCCTGTCTTCGGAGTACGGATAAACCCAGAAGGCCACTAGCAAAAATCGTGATTAACTTTAAAGAGTTTAACTTGTACCCCCTGTATGATGCCACAGCATACAATAGTAAACAACTGCCACCCTCACAAAAGGAGTTATAGGTGCCATGGGTTAAATTTGCTGCTTGGAAAACAAAAGCAAGCGTCTGTGGAATGGGCCGCAACAAAGACCAAACCAGAACACCCCGGAGCCCAGACCGGCTCAGAGAACGCGCCCCACGTGAGGGCGCCCGAAAGCCCGGCTTTGCTTCCCGCCCCGAGCGGGAAGCGTCCTTAGCTGCCGGCAGCGTTCGTACCCGGACCAGGAGTAGTAGAGGGGAGGGGGCCCTCGAGCCATCGAGAATATAATAAATACCCATTAGTCACACCACACTACCTTCCTCGCGCGAGGCAGGCAATTACCATCCACCATCGGCGAGCAGCCAGTGTATCACCCGAAGCGCAGGCCCGGCCCCCTACTCGCCCCCCAGCACGCGCGCACGTCGGAGCAGACACTGGGAGCGCGGCACTTAGTCCCGCCTCTCTTTGGCGGAACGTGGGATTGGCGTTGCTTGCAGCCAATCAGCTGGCAGCGACTCTGCCTGTGAAAGCTTCCGCTAGCTGCGCAGCGCCCGGGCTGAGAGCGTCAATCCGCGGCCGTAGCCGCGGGGCTGGACCTGCAGCGAGCCGGCGGCGCGGAGTAGGGCTGCGGGTAAGTGGGCGCGAACGCGGCGGACGCTGTATAGTCGCCGTCGTCGATAGGGAACTGCTGGCGACCTAGGGTCGTCCTGAGAGGAAAAAGTGGGCTCCGGCTGCATGTGCGGCGCCCTGCGTGGCCATGCGGGCCAAGTGGCCTCAGAGGCTCACCCTCTACGCAAATCCTTGCTGTCTTGCCGGGGTCCGACGTGACATGCGGCCGCGAGAAGGAAGGGGCGGCTGGGGAGGTGGTAGCAGTGGCGGCCTTTGCTGAGTTTCTCTGGCCCGGAGCGCTTGGGCTGCCGGTCTGGCAGGGTGGCTTCCCTGAGGGGTCGCCGCCTTCGGAGGCACCAACAAGGGCAGAGCCGACAGCCTCTTCACGGTCTCTGAGGTCATTGTTTGCCAATCCTGGGGCAGCCCGGCAAACCTGCTGGGGGGAAAGGTTTTCTGGTTGGAGTAGGGTGAGTACCACACCAGCTTTGCCTTCCAGCTGAGATGTAAATTTCAGGCCTCTATCCAGTAGAAAGTGGGAAAACTATCTTGAGTGTTGGCATATTCTTAAGTATGGTTAAAAATAATGTATGATAAGTGATAGATGTTTAGACGAAAGTTTTACACGTGTAAATTGGAGACTTTAGCGGTCTTAGTGTATCTAACTTTTGGTCATCTTAAGCCTTGATGCCTGTTCCATGGGTTTTTAGAGGGGAAGGAGCATTATACTCCGGAAACACTCGCTGGATGGGGTTATGAGAAATTCCTCTCCGTATGCGAACTCCGTAATACAAGCGTTTATTTTTTTAAATCACAGTTGTTCCAAATATAATATAGCCTCGTTTTCCCCCTCCCTCAGATGATAGGTGTTCTTCAGGACAGTTTTATTTTAAGGAATATTTAGACCCACGTAAACACCATCATTAAAAGAACCGAAAACTATTGTCTGTTCTTCCTTTGGAGTCCATCTTCAATGGAAAAGGAGAAGGGAAAAACTTTATTTATTTATTTATTTATTTTATTTTTGCTACAAGACATACCCAGGGCAAAACTTTTTAAAAAGAAAGAAAACTGAAGTTTTTGAGGAGTTAACTAGAGAAATATTCAGAAGACTCCTTGCTTTCACCTAGTTGTATCACAAAGTTGAGAAATATTATCCCTTGACCATGTAAATTTTACACCACATTATATCAACAGCGTGTATCTTCCACATTCAGTATTCAGAAAGAAGTGATCTGAACTCTGACCATTCTTTATGGATACATTAAGTCAGATATAAGAGTCTGGCTACTTGACAGACTGGCTGGGTAAGTTCTGCTTTTTCTTTTTAATATAAATTTATTGGTAAATTTAGCCTCTGGCATTTCACTTTGCTCTCATGATATAAGAAAATGTAGGTTTTCTCTTTGAATTTGAATTTTCTTATTCAATAAAACAAAATGCTAGAAAACAAAGTTTAGGAAAAGGATTTTAACTATTTTTTCAAATAGAACCATAAAAAATAAGTCTTATCTTACCATCAAGTGAAAAGTTGAACATTCTTTACTGCTGTCATCAGCATCTACAAGTAGCATATTTTGGATGGTGGTTGTGTGCTATTTCAAAATAACTAGGAAAAAATAATCCTTATAATACATGTACCTTGTCATGTCAGACTTGAGGGTGTTTAGGTTGCCAGTTGTATCAGTGTTGATTCATTTCATTACTTTCCTACAGAGCAAACATGAATGTTGGAGTCGCCCACAGTGAAGTGAATCCAAATACCCGTGTCATGAACAGTCGGGGTATGTGGCTGACATATGCATTGGGAGTTGGCTTGCTTCATATTGTCTTACTCAGCATTCCCTTCTTCAGTGTTCCTGTTGCTTGGACTTTAACAAATATTATACATAATCTGGTAAGAATTTCACATTATACTACTTAAAAGCTTTAGTTTTAGTGGTTGCCAGAAGTTAAAGGGAGGAAGGAATGGAGAGTTACTGCTTAATGGATACAGAGTTTTTGGTTTGCAAAATGAAGAGTTCTGGATGTGGATGGTAATGGTGATGAGTGCACAACAATATGAATATATTTAATACCACTCAATTGTACATTTAAAATCCTAGCACTTGGGGAGGCCAAGGCGTGTGGATCACAAGGTCAGGAGTTTGAGACCAACCTGGCCAACATGGTGAAACCCCATCTCTACTAAAAATACTGCATGCCTGTCGTCTCAGCTATTGGGGAGGCTAAGGCAGGAGAATCGCTTGAACTTGGGAGTTGGAGGTTGCGTGAGCCAAGATGGTGCCACTGCACTACAGACTGCTCGTTTAAAAAAAAAAAAAAAGAAGGGGCTAAGATGGTAAATTTTATGATATGTATGTTTAAACACAGTTTTTAAAAAAGCTTAATTAAGGTTTTGTGACATATATGACTTCGTTTTTTTTTTAAACAGCTTTTAACATGCAATAAAATCCACTCATTTAAAGTGCATAGTTTAGTCGTTTTTTAGTATATAAGACTTAATTTCGAAAAATTCTAACCTGGGATAGAATTTTCTCTTTCTTTTAAATTACATTGGGCCTTTTTCTAAGTAAGACTTTTTTTTTCTCTTGTTGTATAAACTGTAGAAAATAGATCATTTTAGTTTCTATCCTTGTTAACTTATCTGTCTAAATTGTGTAATTATCCTTTACTGTTTCAGTATTTAAGTTTTGAACTTAATCGTATCTTATATGATTCTGGATCTTATGGTGCCTTAGCTGCTGCTTGTTGAATATATCATCCTCTCGTATTAGCTTTACAAAGCATCAAAGTTTTGATTGACTCTACTGACATATTATGCAGCCCTGGAAACTGCCTTTTACAAAAAAAAAAAAAAAATCACACACACAAAACAATCCTAATAGAAACTTTTCTTGTCTTTACCAGCCTATTAAAGTAACGTGTAAAGGAGGAAATACAGCTAGTTGAGAATTTTAATTGAATCCAGTTTAGCAGAACATTCGTTGAAAGATATTTTTTAAAATGAACTGAAAAGCATTAAGACAGGAAAACAGGAGAAACTGATTTTGAAAAATTAACATTTATTTTGGCCAGGCATGGTGGCTCATGCCTGTAATCCCAGCACTTTGCGGGGCTGAGGTAGGCAGAACACTTGAGCTCAGGATTTCGAGACCAGCCTGGGCAACATGGGGAAATCTGAAACCCACCCCATCTCTACAAAAAATTAGCTGATGTGGTGGTGGCACATCTGTAGTCCCAGCTACTCAGGAGGCTGAGGTGGGAGAATCACTTTAGCATGGGAGGTGGAGGTCGCAGTGAGCCAAGATTGTTCTACTGTACTCCAGCCCGAGTGATAGAGTGAGACCATGTCTCAAATAATAATAATAATATTTATTTTCTATCTTCTGGGGGATATTTGATATTAACTGGAGGAGGACAGGAATGATGCGCTGGTAGACATGATAAATATGTGTCCATTAGTCCATTTTATGTGATAGACTTTGTAAGGGCAAACGACGTTTTCTTTTAAATAGTGACTTCTCTGAAATACGTTACACTAATCATCTCCCTTTTGTTGACACTCTTCCTTTGGCTTCCATGGGATCACCTGCATGTATTTCTGACCTCTTTCTTCTGATGGGGTCTTCCTTCTCTTTTCTTCTCTTAAATATTGCTATTCCCAAAGTTCTTTTCTTCCTCTCTTCTCATGCTGTGTATTCTACCTAGGTTACTTCATCTACCCGTATGTTCAGTTTCTACCTGTAGAATAAGGATGCTTGTATTTATTTAAATCACCAGATTACCTTGCACTTTAAACCAAACAAGTATAAATGGTACTTATCTTACTCCTGATTAGTCCCTTACCACCCAAATCTGCTCCTCTGACTTCACTGTTAATCTTATCTAAAGGCCAAGCCAGATAGCTGAATGTTAATGGTAAAGCAATTAATATACAGGTTGAGCATCCCTAATCGGAAAACCCAAAATAGAAAATGTTCTAAAATTCAAAACGTTTTTGGCACCAATACGATGCCATGAGTGGAAAATTCCATACCTGACCTCCTGACAGGTTGCAATTAAAGTGCAGTCAAAACTTTATGTACAAAATTATTGAAAGATACCATATAAAATTAGCTTTAGACTGTGTTGTGTGTAGGATGTATATGAAACATAAATGAATTTCATGTTTAGACTGGGGTTCTGTCCCCAAGATATCTCATGTATATGGAGATATTCCAAAATCCAAAATAATCCAAAATCTGAAACACTTCTGCTCCCAAGCATTTTGGATAAGGGATACTCAATCTGTAATGTATAGTCCAAACAGACTGTTCTGAGAGTAAAATGGAGCTCTGGTAATAACTACTACAAAAGAATTGGTATAATCAGAATCATCCCATGCAAACAAGAACAAAGTCACCTAAATCTTAGGATAACTTCTTTTCCTTTATATTCCATATCCATTTGCTCAGAACAGTATCTTCTGCTTTACTCTCAACTTGATCCCCATACCCTCATTTTTTTCCTCAAGTAAATTATTCAAATAAATCAAATGGCCTTTGTGATGCTTCCCTACCCTTCTCCATTCCAACTTGGCAGAGTGATGTTTTAAAAACGCATGTTTGCTTAAAGTCATACTCTTAAGTCCTTCAGTGATTATCCATTGCAGTCATGGTAAAATTTAAGTTTCTTGTGTGACATACAAGACCAGTTGATAACAGTGCAGAAACAAAAAGGAGAGTTCACCTTATCTCAGCCAGCTCTAAATACAGGCTGTACACTAGCAGTAAAGGAAATAATTTTGCTCTCATTTTATTGCTTTGGCTTAAACTTTTCTACTATATTTTCTTTTCCCTTTGACCAAGTACTCTTTTTTTTTTTTTTTTTTAAGAGACTGGCATGATCATACCTCCTCCTACCTTAGCCTCCTGAGAAATTCTAGGACTCCTGGCACGTGCCATCATACCTAGTTAATTTTTTTTGTTTTAATAGTGATAGTGTCTCACTACGTTGGCACATGACAACACACCTGGCTATTTTTTTTAATTTTAATAGTGATAGGGTCTCATTTTGTTGCCCAGGCTGGTCTTAAACTCCTGGCCTCAAGCAGTCCTACACTACCTCCAAAAGGGCTAGGATTACAGGCATGAGCCACCATGCCTAGCCATTTTGTTTTTTTACAGAGACAGGGCCTTACTCTGTTACCCAGGCTGGAGTGCAGTGGCATGATCATAGCTCACTGTAGCCTTGAACTCCTGGTCTCAAGTAATCCTCTTACCTCAGCCTCCCAAGTAGATAGGACTATAGACAGGTGTGTGTCACCATGCTCAGCTGATTGATTGATTGAGATGGGGATGTCTTGCTATGTTTACCCAGGCTAGTCTCAAACTCCTGGCCTCAAGAGATCCTCCTGTCTCAGACTCCCAAAGCATGAGTGAGCCATGGCACTCAGTGTCTACTTTTTTTTTTTTTTTTTTTGAGATGGAGTCTTTCTCTGTCATCCAGGCTGGAGTGCAGTGGTGTGATCTCAGCTCACTGCACCCTGCACCTCCCAGGTTCAAGCGATCCTCCTGCCTCAGCCTTCCTAATAGCTGGGACTACAGGCGCGCACCACTACGCCTGGCTAATTTTTGTATGTTTGGTAGAGATGGGGCTTCACCATGTTGGCCAGGCTGGACACAAACTCCTGACCTCGGGTGATCCACCTGCCTCGGCCTTCCAAAGTGCTGGGATTACAGGCATGAGCTACCACGCCCAGCCCAGTCTTTACTATGTTAATACCCCACCCTTCTTCCTCCTCTGCCTGATTCCTACTTGCCCAGCAAAACTATCCCTCGAGGAATCTACACAACTCCCATGCTGCATTCTTTAATCATGTGTTTGTCATAGTTTTAGAATTAGCAGTTTATCTTTTTATGCTTTAATTTTTGTATCTCTAAAAACGTCTTTAAACATTTGCTGAATAAGTTAGTCTTTTCTCCAGTGGCACATGTATTAAATATATTTTAGAAGCCATCCTCTGCACCACCACCGGCCCCTAACCATGTTTCAAGTTGGTTGACCATGGACAAAATGATTGGTAATTGACATTGTATAGAAAAGCAAACTTGTGATTTACTTGTGATTAGTTCACCACACTAAAAACTTAACTAATTAGCTGTAGGAGTTGTAATTACATGACTCCAAATTTAAGTTTACTTTGAAAATAGCCTACATTAAACCAATTAAAAATCTGAAATACATGCTGAATGCCTTTAAAGATGAGAAAATGGACCTAATTATTACACCCAGTCAGAAAAATACAGTGTATTTGCCTTTCTGAACCATACAGTAGAAACCTACACTAATTGTTTTATTAAGTGCTACAGTTCAGCCTCAGAGGTATTAATCACAAGATTCTTGGCCCAGCTTTAAAAATGAATGATTCATTTTGATTTAGTAGGTATTCAGTAAGGACTAGCCATGAGCTACATGCTTTTGTTCCCTAATTCTTTTAATGTAGGAATAATTATCACAAACTTTTCTGTATAAAAACAATTTTAAAAATAATACTGGGGTAGAAGATATATGGCCAGGTACAATTTTGTTCTTTTTCACTGAAAAAAATATATAAAATAAACTGTTTAGATACTTTAAACATGATTTAAGTACAGGTGGTTTGAGGAAATAATGACAGGTTGATGATTCTCTTAGATTCTAATACGTATGTGGTCTGGAATAGAGGTTCTTAACTTTTTTGGGGTCCTATACCCCCTGAGAATTTCAAAACATATACTTTGTTTTATAATTCACTTTAAAGCCCATATGAAAATGGTTTCCTAGTGCTTACAGAATAAATACTCCTTGGTGTAATGTCATGTTCCAACATTCCTAATGTTGCAGTGTACCAGTGCTTATTCCTAGTGTATTTAGGCTAATGGGAAAATAAACATCATGCAAACAACTCTAACATGATATATTGTACTATAATAGTATTTTCAATAAAATTGTATCCAACCCCATAGACAAGAGATTATTACTAATGAGGTAGGTTTTTCTAAGGAATTGTATTTGAGCTGAACTTTTAAGAATGAGGTGATTGAGGTCACATCAAGACTTTTGCCACAGCAACAAGGAACCTTTCCCTCCTCTCCCATTTGCTGAGTACTCTGATTATACCTTGATAGCAGTTTCTGCCCTACTTTCTAGTTGTTCATGCTTAGTGTTTTTTCTTTACCATCTCTTAGCAGATTGAGTTTTTCCAAGGCTTGGGTACGTCTCATTCAATTTCATATGTGCATATATGTCCTGTGTCTTGTACATATAAGCCACTTATTAAATGTTTGGTGGGTTAAATCCAATTGAACATGAGTCCTTTCCTCCATAGCTTTGTAATTGTAGCTAAACAACTTCTGAATTGCCTAATGGAATAACTACAAGTAGACTAAGCCTTAAAAGGAAGGGTTTGATTAACCTGGTGTCATATAAAATTTCAAATCCCTAATTTTTCTATATAATCATTAAAAGTTGAGGTAGGAAAAATAACATCACATTGTAGTATCTAGAAGGAAAAACTTTGTGTCATAATAATATTTAGGCATTATCCTGTTATAGTGCCTCAAGCAGTGATCCTGAATGAAACACTGCCTATCAATCTAAATGTGTATCATCCTCTCAAGTAAACCAAATCTAGTATATACTGGGTTTTTCTACCCTATTAATAAAAAAAAATGACATGTTTAGATTTTGATCTGACAGAATGGCTTTTAGTAATGTTATTTGCTTTGAGTTTTAAAAACTGACTTCAGAAGAAACACTATTGAGGCACAATGGTGATTCTAAAAGGGAATTGAGTGGAACATTATACCTATTATATCTTTGTTGCTTTGGAAGAGAACTGTTAAGGCAAAGGCGGTTGTCATTAAATATCTAAAAACTATTTTTCCCAATAGTCTTTAAGCATTTTGTTGTTTTCTACCAGTTTGTATGTCTTTATCATTTTTTTAAGTATCATCAAATTTATTAATATACCCTGAATAAAAACCTCCTATACATTGGGGAAAAAGTAATCCTATTTCCTAATAGGAAGAGTGTAAGAAAATCTGAATGTAAAGATATGAAGCTACTCTGATACTTATTTTCAGTTTAATGAAAAAGAAATGCAAACAGGTTACTTTCATTTTACCAATTCTCACATAATATTATTTACATACCCCAGAAAGCTCTATTTTATTATAAAGAAACTGGCCACAGCCTGTCACTATTTATAAAAGCTTAAAATGAACTCAGTTAAATCACACTCTCACAAACAGCTTGGAACCTCATTAATGCTTAAAGACAGAGACTAATTTTGTATTTGATACTGATCATTTATACCCCCTTGCTTGTTTTCCAGGGGATGTATGTATTTTTGCATGCAGTGAAAGGAACACCTTTCGAAACTCCTGACCAGGGTAAAGCAAGACTCCTAACTCACTGGGAACAACTGGACTATGGAGTACAGTTTACATCTTCACGGAAGTTTTTCACAATTTCTCCAATAATTCTGTAAGTGGCAGAAATTTTTAGATAGGAGGATTGGATAAGAGGAAGATACCCTTTGAAGAATAAATTGGGATTAGAAAATATTTTGTTGAAAACTTTATCAATAAGTTGCACCTCAGATATAATATAAATTATAGACAAAATTTTTAACAAGTTGATAATAAACTAGTTTTCACTTCAGTCAGGTCATACGGAGACAATATTACATGCTAATCAGTGCAGCTGGACATTTAGGATACACAGGTCACATGTATTCCAGGCCCTGTCCTTAGGTTTCTTGTAAGAACACAAAATACATAATCATGTTCTGTATTACACTATCAGATTAATCACTCTAAGCAATGATTTAGACAATCAGAAGAATTTCGTTGGCCACCCAACCTGTTGAGATATTCAGACTCCTTGGGAAAGAGTATGATTTAGAAAAAAAGAGGTCAGGCTTTCATTATAGGACAGACCTGGGTGGAGTCCTATATATATCACTCAGCCAGCTTGGTTTACTCGTATATAAAATTCTAGCTAGTGATACCTAATTCAATCCTAATGTTCTAAGAAATAAATGAGGTATCTATCTGGATTGCATTAACTTTGTATCTGGTATCTAATTTCTTCTTGTCTGACATACTGGGCCTTTCAGAAAATAATTCCTACCTCATTTCCCCATTATGTAAGTATTTTATCCCCACCCAACTCCTACTTGGCCTTCTAAGCAGCATTTCTTGAATGTTTCATGTGTAGTACTATTTCTGTTTCTTTGTTCAAATCTTGTCTTCTACCTGAAATGCCACCTCCTTTTTCCTCCAGTTTTATTGAGGTATAATTGACAAATAAAAATTGTATATATGTTTCATTTTGTCCCTCCAAAGAATTTTTTTTTTTTTTGAGACAGAGTTTCGCTCTTGTTACCCAGGCTGGAGTGCAATGGCGCGATCTAGGCTCACCGCAACCTCCGCCTCCTGGGTTCAGGCAATTCTCCTGCCTCAGCCTCCTGAGTAGCTGGGATTACAGGCACGCGCCACCATGCCCAGCTAATTTTTTGTGTTTTTAGTAGAGACGGGGTTTCACCATGTTGACCAGGATGGTCTCGATTTCTTGACCTCGTGATCCACCCGCCCTGGCCTCCCAAAGTGCTGGGATTACAGGCTTGAGCCACCGCGCCCGGCCCCTCCAAAGAATTTTTAAGGACATGGATTGCTTTGAATTCCAAAGTACAGTGGCCTGCACATAATAGAAGTATTGCTCATATATCGTAATACTCTGTACCACATATGTTATGTATAATAATGTCCATGATAGTCAGCGTAGCCTGGTGTAGCACAAAAGACTTCTTGGAGGTGTTGGCAATCCTTATGCTAGAACTTAAGAGAGGACAGGTTTTAGATAGATAGTTAAGTAAGGGAAGGCATTTTTCAAGTGAAAGGAATAAACTGAGCATAAAATAATGGGGTTATTCTTCCTTAATTTATAACACTTTGAGGAAATTTTGAATTGGTTTAGTCCCATATAAAATTAAACTCAAAGAAAAGTGTTGGTGTGGTCTAACAAAAATAATTGCAAGCTACAGGGGAGGCTGAGGCAGGAAGGTGATTTGAGGCTAGGAGTTGGAGGCTGCAGAGAGCTGTAGTCACACTGCTGTACTCCAATCTGGGCGACAGAGCAAGACCCAATTTATTAAATAAATAATGAATGTATGCATGCATGTAATAACAAAAATATTGGTTATTCAGATGGCCCTAAATTTGGATTTTGGCTCAACCACTTTGAAGTTCTGTGAGTTTTGGCAATTTCTTCACAGTTTTCTAATCTATATATCATAATATATGCAAAACACCTGACATATTCTGAATTTTTAATCACAGCTGTCACGTAAAAGGTCAGCTGAGATGTACCTCTATAAGTGTCTGTCTTTCTCAAAATATACTTTTGACCGGCAGGTAGGATTTCAAATATTCTGATTAAATTGCTTACTTAAATGAAGAAATAGCATTAAAGCCATCTACTACATAGCATTAAGACGTTTCAAAGTGCTTTCACATTTTCCTATTTGATCATCATTTGTCAGGTAGGTGTGACATGGAGTGTTATTCCAGGTAAAGGAACAGACTCAAATACATTACCTTATTGAAGATCTTGCATCTAGTTGGAGTTAAGAGCCCAGGTTAAACCCCCTAAACTGCTATCTTGTAATACAGGTCTCTTTCCAGTATAGCTGTTGGCAAATAAATGTTGTCACACTGATTGCCACCTGGGTTTTGCATACCATCAGCGGGTTGTCTAAGTTTTTAAAAGAGTCAAGTAATTTTCTTACAGTCTACACACAAAATTAGTTTTAATTAAAAGACAAAAAGGGGACATAACACTATGTTGTAGTCAGAAGAACCTATTATAAGATTTATTATTTCTAACCTATCAGATTAGGTTAAACCTTATAATGATGGTGGCAAATGAAATGAGCTTGCAGGGATATCGTATTTTGTTCAGTAAAGGAAGTATAAATATAGTGTTCAAATATATGAAACCAGGAAGAAAGAATTTCAAAATTGAAGAATATGGTTTACTCTCGAGAAAGAATTTTCTGACTATAGTTTGTAAAATAGGTGGAGGATTGTAGAATTTCTCAATCCAGATGGTTCTGAAAATATATAAAATTCTCTGACTGTGATGTTTTTAGTCACACTTGGAAGTAGCTCCTCTCTTCTAACTATATTACATAATATATTTATTTCCCTTTGAGAAACTAATGTCAGTAGTTAAACACGATTAGAATACTTTCCTTGTGTACTGCAAAAATAGACAAATACCCATATGTAAACTAACTGCTTATTTATGAACAAATAAGATAGGATGTTTTATTCTTTACATATTAACTGTATTATTCGTTGAGTAATCAGATGATGTGTCTGCACCTTGATATACCCATAGGTAATACTAAACATTCTGGATTTGAGTGATTTATGTGTTTTTGTTTTTGTTTTTTCCTAGTAAAAGGTAACACTTGGGTGCGGTGGTGATTAATGGTTTTAAAGATGCTTTAGGCATGGGGCTTGTTAAAACAAATTCTCAGTTGGATATCCAAAAACATACATGCATTAAGAAGCAGCTGGAATGGTACAACAGTGTCTTTCAAGTTACCAGTAAGTGGTTGTAGACCTGCTCAACTGCAGTACAAAAATGAGAACATCAAAAGGGCAACCAAATATTTATTCCCTTCAAAGATAGGAATTGTACTAATGCACTAAAACCCCATTTTTCAGAGCTTTACTGTAGAGGATCTTAACCTGTGAGTCACACAACTTTTTGAGAATAAGATGAATGCTTTGCATCCAGATCTTTTTCAGAAACATATATGGAAATACAGAACTACATCTGATATTTCAGAGGGCATATGAACCCTAGTTTGAAAGCCTTCTGCCTTAAAGGATGCAATGTGTTCTATTAAACATATTTAACACAATTACAGAAATGGAAAATATGGACCTCCATTAAACAAATTTTTTAGTTCCTAATCAGATAAACTGGGGGCCAAACTGAAAGGATTCCTCTTGTTTTAGTGTTCAAAAATAGTTTTATTTTTAGGTATTTATGTTTCGGCCTTTTTTTCTACCTTTAAAATTGTTTAATTTCTAAGTAATTTTATTTTTGGATGTTACATATATATATTCTTAACTTTTATCTCTACAGATATTTTCTGGCAAGTTTCTATACGAAGTATGATTCAACTCACTTCATCCTAAACACAGCTTCTCTCCTGAGCGTGCTAATTCCCAAAATGCCACAACTACATGGTGTTCGGATCTTTGGAATTAATAAGTATTGACATTTTTTGAAACTGAACAAAAATTTTTATAGCTACTGAATTTCTTATAAGGAAGGAGTGGTTAGTAAACTGCACTGTTTCTGTGATAATGTGAAATGAGAGGTATTTACGTTGGAGAGCCAATGGCTGGTCCTTCAAGTGCTGTTTTGAAGTGCAGATTTCTGTTAAATGATGCCTCTCTTTAATACATGTGGTATCTGAAGAGAGGCTTTATAAGCAGGCTGGGCAGGCCCAGCTTATAAGTTAAAGGGCAACACAGTGAAGATGTAGTAGATAAATTCAAGGAAATAAGAATTTGTAAGATACTAGGACCAGCATAACTTATAATGAATGGGAATTGTGTTAAGAAAAGAGCATTTCCAATCATTCAGTTATGGTTAAAGCAGACTTACATGTAAACCAGAATCATCTCTATATAGGTTTATTAAAGATTGTTTTTATTACCATACATATTTCTCTTGTTTTATGTAAGAGGATATATATCCTCTTGTTTTATACAAGCCAGTTCCTACTTAATGAGGGTACTTTTTTGGTTTTGCTGGCTCAATATTGTGTATTGATCGATGAGGTCATTTTTACATTTTTTACATTACAGAGTTCATGGAGGTTCACCTTCATGACTGATTGGTGATAGAAGATAGCCAAGCATTTTACAAGCAGCCTCAGAGTCAGTGTTCTAATTTTGGAACAAAGTGGGTTTTACTGCTTTTCCAGACACAAGGCTGCTAAACCAATTGAGAAAATAATTTATTTCAAGCAACTGAAAAGTATATGGTAATTTAAAGGTATCTGCTTATTTGCTTGAACAATTTAGTTGGCAAAGTCTGTTATCATTTGGAAAAGGAAATATAAAAGGAACAACCGTATGGCCAACCTCTGGTCTGGCAGAAACTGCTTCTCTAGCAATAGTACCAAAGTAAGTAACAGTCTTTTTTTGGCAGGTCTGCGGTAAAAGATAACATTTTCTTTTCTTAGTCCTCTTCCTGCTCTCAACCCCCACATTTTGTCCATTAATATTTTGTCTTTGAATACATGGGTCTTAGTATAGATAGCTCAAAATGGTAACTGTCTTCAGAACAGCAACCACATTGAATTCTTGTGACTTAGGAAAGCTTCCTATAGTTGCTGACATTAACTACAAGAAATAACTATATACTACTTTAAGAAGTAAACATTCAAAAACAATCCCATAAAATTCAGATGTGATGAAATTTAAAAATTCAGTAATATTTATAAACAAAATTGAATGAAAAGAGTTATAGATCAAGTTAAACATCAATCTGTGTCAGTAAACTGACTTCTGGGGGTAATGATCATTGTTTTGTATTTCAAAAGTATTGAGTTTAGAAATCAGTTGTATGATACTACCTTTGTATATTTGTCTTTTCCCATGTATTTTTAAATAACTGGCATCTATAATAAAATTTTTCCTTGGTGTAAGATTATTTGAAAAGCTCTCCAAATTTAGTCATCAAAATTAAAGTGACATTTTTCAAGTTTTTGAGCAACTGAATTTATAAAATTAAAGTAACAAAAAACATTAATTTGTTTTTCTTTATTTTAAAGTTTCTCTCAAAAGGCTTACATTTTTTTAACATCAGATAGAAATCTCTTACACATGCTTTCTTTCCTGCTTTCTCCTGTCAATGTTTTAAAAATATTTACTCAGTAGATATTTGAAGGACCAACTCTGTTATAGGAGTTATTTTAGGTATTGAGGATAGTTTGTAAACGAGAGAAACCAACTCCCTTCCTTTCGATGCATACATTCCATTAAAACAAAATCTGTAATGACTATTACTTCAAACAAAATAAATTGCCATGTCACAAATGTTCCTAACTTCAAGTCAGGAGACATAATGGCAATTTCTAAGGAGTCATGAGCTCAGAAATGCCACTAATTTTAGAATACATTGGTGGATCTTTCCTGCAGCAATTATTAATATGGAGTTCTAGTGATGATTTTCTGTTTTCCTTATTCCTTCTATAATTATTTATTGGTATCTTTTATAAGGAAGATTTGTCTCTTCTTCATTTATTTATTAAATCACTTAAACTCTGGGTTCATGGATATTTCATTCTTTGGGTTATAATCCATTATCATGATTTGTTGCTCAAATTGTCCTCTAGCTTTGACCATTAGGAACTATTACAAGTTGACTGCTGTGTCCCTTTGACCTGCCCCCATCCTTTTTTAGGTTTATAGTATTATTGTCTATTGAATTATAAAGGGGCATAATAATATCTCCTTGACTAATACCTGTGTGAGTTAGCTTATAGAGCTATCTGATGCTAAGTTAGAGAAGCCCTTAGAGACTATGTAATTCAACCACCTACCTCCTACCTTTCCCTTTTTTTTGGAGACAGAGTCTCACTCTGTCACCCAGGCTGGAGTACAGTGGCGTGATCTTGGCTTATTGCAACCTCTGCCTCCTGTGTTCAAGCAATTCTCAAGCAATTCTCCTGGCTCAGCCTCCCGAGTAGTTGAGAATATAGGCATGTGCCACCACACCCAGCTGATTTTGTATTTTTAGTAGAGACAGGATTTCACCATGTTGGTCAGGCTGGTCTCAAACTCTTGACCTCAAGTGATCTGCCTGGCTTGGTCTCCCAAAGTGCTGGGATTACAGGCATGAGCCACTGTACCTGGCCCCCTATGTTAGCTTAAATCTTCATTAATCACCACCCTCCCATTCAGTTGTTTTATAATAATAGAGGAGGACTTATAAGACAGCATATTCTATTTTTGTAATGGAATTTACAATTTGTTATATATTGAGTCAAAAGTTACCTTTACATAACTCTTCAACTATTTAAAGATAACTTTTAAATTGGTGTCAACAGCATTGAATGAATATTACTGGAGCCTTTACCATTTTTCATATGATATGGTTTCAGATTTCTCCCACTATCCTGGTAATTCTCTAAGTTCCAGTTTATTATTTATTATATAGCACAAGAGTTAAATACAAGAGGTGATCAGATATGCTGTGAAAGAGTACCACTTCCCTTGTTCTGGATGCTTTTTTTTTTCTTCTTTTTTTTCAATGCTGCCAAATACCACTTTAGTTATTTTGACAACCACATATCACTGATTGACTTTTATATCACTAAAACCAAAGACCTGATAGACAGTATTACTACTAATGAAAGAATGTTCCACATCAAAATATATTGCTCAGCAAGGAAAACTTAAAAGGAGAAAGGAAAATGGCAGTGTATTTTTAGCACTATTCAACTCAAAGAACGTAAGACATATATGTGACTCAAGTGGATAGGGCCACAGCAGGCTTGAAATATTAGCCATTAAAAGCACCAAACTCATTTCTATTGTTTCCATTACATATTTACCAAGCAATCTTCTCATTATAATTTGGATTTAGCCTTCATTGTAATTTGGTCAATACAAGGAAGATAACCAGCAAACTCAACTATCCTAGCTCCCCCATAATTGCATTTCTCATAAATTAATACATTAGTATTAATGGCTTTCACACGGTATTATATTAGCAGTTTGTGGTGGGTAACTGAGTACTCCCAAGTCCAGTCACTTCTAGACCTGATAAACCAATTTCAAGCCTTTAAAAAAAAATCAGATATTGAAACAAGTAATCACATTGTGGACCTGCCAAACTGCATACATCTGTGGCAAGCCAACATGGCTTTCCCGAAGCGATACCCCTCTCGGAATGCACTTTCCATACATATTTCCATAATTCTGTATTGCCTTTTGTCTCCTGCCTATAGACTTAGATCCTTGAGAACAGAGAATGGACCTTATCCACATCGCTAGCAACTAATAAAGTTCCTATAACAAAGAAATGAACCCAATAAAAATGTAATAAATGAAAATAAAACCTAACGTAGTAGGACATAATTAGGAAATAAATATGGAAAATAAGATTCTTCTATGTTTTAATACATATTATATATTAAAATTTCCTTGAAGGCTACAAATGGAAAGCTAGACACACAATATCTGATACAAAATGAGCATATCTAGATTGAGCTGGAACTCTTGATTTATGTTGAAATTACATAGGCCATATTTGTTGAGAATGACCATGAGTGACATTCTAGCCATACGATATCTACACAAAGTACAGACAGGCCTCAGACAGCATACATGCCTTTTCCCTAATAACCCTCTCCTGTGCTACAATAAAGAACATAGAAAATGTACACCTTCACTTGCTAAATACAAGGGACTTGTATAAGTGCCACGTCACATATATTAGGTCAAAGGAAAGATAATATATCTTTCTAATGTGCCCTAGAGTTCTGCTGTTTCACATAATACAGCATTTGGACTAAACACTGGCCAAAGAGTGCCTAGATGAGGAATCTAGCAATGATAGCACACGCAATAGGATCTTGCTTGTCTTGACAGCACAGGAGAGTATTGGGATACACATGCTGGAATTGTAAGAAAAATAATAATTGATGTGAAAGGTTTTTATGTTCAAACTGGATTCCAGTGTATAACAGAAATAACCTCTGACTTGCCATATGTAACCAAACAATATAATTTTTCATAAACTTTAGGTTTTAATTTTTTTTTTCCTTTTTTAGGCCAACGATTCACCCCAGAGAAAATGTGCGTTATTTTATCTTCTAGCAGTTAAGAAAACAGACTTCATTGCCAGATGGCCTGACTTCTAATCCTAGCTCACTTTGACTAGTTGTGTGACCTCCAAAGAACCCAAACTCACTGGCCCAGTTGCTTGTAAAATGAGGACAATAACTACGTCATGGGATGGTGAAAAAATTAATTTACAACACTGCCTGGTACATGGTGCCCCTTTATTATTATTGTTACACATAATTGAAATTTTTAAAAAACATAAGCTCCACTAAAAAACCTCAGCCATATTCTGGTAATTATTTACTTATTTATTCTGTATCTACCTCTAGTCTAGACTCTACTCTGTGACTTCCCAACATTTTATGGGATTTACTCATCATTTATACCCAGAGCTTCACAAAGTGCAAAGTACAGGTATATGTGCCAGCCCTGTACAACAGTGCATTCTAAGATCCTTGCTTACTGAAATCTTAAATACCAGCAGGGGAGAAGAAAGACTGTTGGAATAAATCTGTTCAAACAATGGTAACAAGTTGACAAACCAATAAAAGAAAAAAAAGCAGGTGCAAGACTCTGAAAACATACCATGCTGAATTTCGTGTGCATAGTAAGAACAATATGAAAATAGGATTTTTTAAGGTAACAGAGTATTTACCACCGCCTTTAAAAAAAAAAAAAATTATAAAAATAAGCCAGCCCCTTTTTTCGAAGTGAAGTGGGAGTAACGGTTTACACTCTCCGACCAGAAACACTTCCGTTCTTTTGGACCGCCCCGCCATCCCCCGCCGCCCCCTACAACCCTGGCGCCGCTAGGGGGCGCCGCTAGTTTCCGTCCTATTTCTCTGATGAAAGTATCAGGTACC